CCTATTTAAAATGTGAGGGCCTTTTCTTCAAGAGCATATCTTGTATTTCATATCCATGCTATCCAAGGAAGCTAGCCTTTCAAATGTTTGTCTCTTATTTGGTTGTTGCTTTTTATTATGGATCTCTGCTTTAAAGTTACTTAGTTTTAAATATGTTTCCTCTGTGTAGTTCTGGCTGGCTGGGAACTCTATGCATAATCCAGTCTGTCCTTGAACTCGGAGAAATCTGTCTGCCTCTACTAAGTGCTGGGATTAAAGGTGTGAACATGGCTTTGTTCCTAAGTTCTTATTTGAAGCTTTCTAAGAAGAGTTGGCCTTCCTGCCCTTGAGTAAACAATAAGTGTAGTAAACCAGCACCTAAAATTTGCCCCTTCTCAGGAGTGTGGGAGCTCGAAGGTCAAGGACACCATGGGAAGGCTCACACAGTCCACTAACCGGGGCTCACAGAGACTGGACCGGCAACCAGGGTGCCTGCTTGAGACTGACCTAGGCACTCTGTGTTACAGTTCTGTAGCTTGATTCTCTTGGTGCTACTCCTGACAGTGGGATCAGGGGCTGTCTCTGACTGACTCTTTTACTGGCTTTTGAGATCCTACTCCTCATACTGGGACACCTTGCCAGCCTTCATGCACGGGGAGGTGCTTGGTCTTACTGCGACTTGATATGCCATGTTGTGTTGATACCCACTGGAGACCTGCCCTTTCCTGGACAGAGCTGGAGGAGGAGGGGATTGGGGGCATGGGAGGGGAGGATGTGGGGGAGGCTGTGGCTGGAATGGAAGACAAATAGATGAATTTTTAAATGTCCCTTTTCCTTAAATGTTGCATGTTTATATTTAAAAGAAGGATTGGGGGCTGGAGAGATGGCTCAGGTAGAGCACTGGCTGCTCTTCCAGAGGACCCAGGTTCCGTTCCCAGCACCCAGCACCTCACAGGGCATGTTCCTAAGGACTTCTCTAACTAGGTAGGTCCTACTAGCTGCTGTCACATTGTGACTCCATGGAAGGACTCCACTCCTCATGGTTAGGTCAGAGCCCTCAGGATCCAGTCCCTTCCCTAGAGCCCATGAGCTGGCAGTCAGGTTCCCACTGCATTTTACATGCACATTCAAGCCGTGGCCCACTAGATGCTTTCTACTTCTCTGCCTCTCTTCAGTAGCCATCCTAGCCAAGACTGTTGCTCTTCCCTGGCCCACCGTAGTCCCTGTTCTCTAGCATGTACTGTGTGAAAACACTTAAACCCCAAATCATGTCTCTCTGGGAAGCCTTTACTCATTTTACTCAGTACTTGTTCCTGTTTTCATTTCGTAGCGTGCATGCATCCCTACCCTAGGGAGTTGGCCCCACACCTGTAGCCAGTGTCTTTCTGGAATCTCAGCTCACATGTTGACAGTGAAAACAGCTCTTTGATCTTGATGGGATTTCCTTTAACCCCCATTTTTATCATTCTTGTCTTTGTGTAGAATGGCTAATTAGCACATGCTGTAGTTCCTGGTTTATTCCCAGATTGGGGAAGGAAAGGAGCAAATCCCTGGTAGTCAGTGCTCCTGTCAAGTTACTGTAAACCCCTGGCTTTCCAGAGTTTCCTTGTGGTGGATTTTCAAGCTCTGTCAGTGCCGATTTGTCCACGGTTGTAGAAGGCTCAAGTTCCAGCTTACCCATTGCTCTTGGCTTCCATGGCCACACGTGCTTCACTTATCATTTGAATGGCAGGTTAACTTTTCCTGGAGAGCTATAGGGAGCTGGAAAAAGTGTTCACCAATGGTATGCCTTAGGCAGGTCATGCCGCCCGCACTGTGAAGCCTGAGTGTCTGCAGGGAAGAAACGGTGCTGGTGAGGGGCGTAGCACTGTTTTAAGGGCAGGGGAAGAGCAAGTGTAGACTTAACCCTAGTTTTGTGCCTATCAAGCTTATCTTTCTGTTTAACTACCAGACATAGTTTTGTCGTTTGTACACAGCATATTAGCTGTTTGTTGATCACATGAAAGGAACTTTTTCCAGAAAATTTGTGCCTGGTTGGAAAGTGTACAGCTCAAATTTTGACAAGTATTTATTTAGAAGACTGGAATGACGGGGGTGGGGAGTGTTTTTTGAGGCATGGTCTTTCATGTAACCCCTACTGGCCTCAGCCTCCTGAGTGATGGGATAACCATCTCACCTAGCCTGGAGACAGTATTTGGAACATTTTACTTTCTCAGATGTGTTTATATCACTTTCATTTGTCTGTCCAGTACTATGTAGAAATTTGTGGGACGTGATCTCTCTTACAGTCAGAGTTTACCTTGTAATAAACAGACCAAGAGGGTGTTATTGTTACTATATTGCCATGTAAAACCTCAAGAATGCTTTAGGTTTTAACATTTTTGTGCTGTTACTCTAGAAATTTTTATCTTTACAGAATCAGCTTGGTTATCTATCCTAATACATCCTTTTTGTTTTTGATACTACCTTCAGTATGGATTGCCTTCAGTAAACAAGGGGAAGGTTTGGGTTTTGTTGTTGCTTTCTTTCTTTCTTTTGTTTGTTTTTGTAATTCACTAGATTCCCCTGGAGACAGGTTAAGTGTTTTCATTAGGCCTTGGAAAGCCTAATTGAATGCTCTGATTCTGTAGAAGGGCCTTGCCTTATCCACTCCACTTCAGAACAAGCTAATGGGCAGCTTTGAGGCCGGGGATATTAGTCATTTATGGTGATGATGAAGGTGGATTGAGATTGATTTTTACCTGTAATTCTTAGTAATTCTTAGTTCTATTTTCTGTTCTTGGTCTTCTGTATAGAAAAGGTGAGAGTAGGGACTGAAGAGACAGCACAAAGGTTAAGAGTAAGCACTGCTTCTGCAGAGGACCCAAGTGTGCTGTCTGCACTCCCATGGGGTAGCAGCTCACACCACCTGTAACTCCATCTCCAGGGCATCCATCCTGTGCCTCTCCTCCATGGGCATTCGCACTCGTGCACATACTTACACATACATTTACAGTGCGCCCATAATTTACAGTGAAGCAAGTCTTCTTATCAAAGGGTCAAAGAATAAACCTTTTTACCTTTATCTCTTTTGGGGGGAGGACATGCACCTTGGTTCCTGCCTGCTGACACCACATTTGTCCATGAAGAGGTCAGGGGAGTGCTACTCAGCTAAAGCCATCTGTATCAGTTTCTCCTAGCACACCTCTGTCCTTGCCTTCATCCATCCTTTGGTTTGCTAGGGAGAGTGTCTGTGGAGGAAGAGTGGACAAAGGGTGCTACTTGTTCTACACTTGTTCTTTCAGCTTAGACTAAGTCTGTACCTAAATGATTGTCGGTTTTGAGACCAGATCTCATTCGCTGTGTAGCTAAGGCTGCTCCCTGAACATAGACTACAGAATTATGGAGTATACTGCCCTACCTGATTGTTCAGTGTGGTTTGGTTTTTAGTCTTCTGAGACAGGGTCTCGCTGTAATGCTGACCTACCTGGAACTTGTGCGCAGCAGTCCTTCTGCCTCAGCCTCCCAAGTGCTGGGCTTGCAAGCGTGAGCTGTTGCTTGTTTTAGGGAGTTATTTCTGTACTTTGGTTTGGTTTGGTTTTTAAGCTTCCCTTTGACTCATTTCTTTACATTTTAGGGAAGGGTGTTCTACAAACTAATGATGTTGCCATAGTCTTTAGCAAAACTTCCTCATAATTATTAGGAGGAATTTTTAGAATAAGAAAGTAGGACATTATTAAATGTTTTGAAATAGCATTGGTTTTCAATCTAGCTGTGGATCATTTTTATGAAAAATTAACTTCCAATTTATCTCTGCCCTCCACTCTTTAACTCTTGCCGTAAGCAGCTTGTGAGCTGACACTTTCTTATTTGGAACATCACATGGATGCTGGTATTTTCAGTAGTCCCCAAAATCTGAACCCTGTTCTCAGGAAACACTTGAGTGGAGCTCTTCGTTGTAGCCTGCTTACATTGTGTGTGAACCACCATTTCACTTTGATTAATTTCATCTTTGGTGTTAACACTGAGAGTTAATACATGGCAGCTATTTTTAGGTGACGAGTATTTTAGTCTTGCCCATAGAAACTCAGCTTCTGAAAGACTTGCTGTTCACCAAGGGAGATGTTACCTCATTGGCTCCTCCTTGCCTCAAAACTTAGAAATGGTTGTTACCATCCCTTCCCACCCAAGAACTGTGATACAAGTTATCAGACCTTTATTTTGCTGAATGAAAACACTAAAAATAAAATAGCAATGGGGGAAAAAAAGCAAACATTTTCACATGTTACCCCAAACAGCCACCAAAGATAGGAGTGGAACTGAGAGCACAGGCTCTTGCACTGCTTTGAGCAGTGTGCTCTGTTTTTCTCTTGTAAAGATGCTTGACTGCACGTTAATAACACTTTCTCATGCATGTGTTTGTAATGGAATCCTAAGGCCCTGCCTAATATGTTCAATAGCAAACATCCATCTCACGTCCTCTTCTGTTTTCTCACCAGTTCGATCCTTCGGTACAGAAGACAGACCAACAGACCGTCCAATACCACCTCGAGATGAAGTCTTTGAGTACATTATCTTCCGGGGGAGTGATATCAAAGACCTCACTGTCTGTGAGCCCCCAAAACCGCAGTGTTCTTTGCCTCAGGACCCAGCTATCGTTCAGGTAACTGATAGTAAATTGCCTTTGAGTGGTAGTTGGGACCCTAAGTTGAAACTGACTTTTTTTTTTTAATACAGAGCACAGAAACTGCACATATAAAAGTTGGTCTTCATGGTGGTCTTTCAACTTGATACCCATAATTTTTTTGCTTTTTTACGTGAGGAAATTAAAAGGGAACCACAGTTTGAGTGGATCCAGGTAGTAAGTCTCCAGAGTCTAGGACCCATGCCTCTGCACTATGCAGATAACGGTTCATATTACAAACCAGGTGACAATAGCCACTCTGGGATAAAATACCTAGGTTAATGGGGTACTAAGTCATAGTGTCTATTATACAATACGCAATGGCGTCTAAATGATACCACAAGCACAGAAGGGTTTTAGCGTAAGCTCTTTAAGGTCCCAAGTTAAAAGTTAGCCTTAAGTATTCTTAGAATTGAATCTTTGCATATTTTATTAAAGATGGCTATGCCGCGAGGCACTGTTGCCCACACTGCATTCCCCTCGGTCATAGTGGCCACAACCATGGTGAGCACATCAGGAGCACTGCATATAAGCTTGAGGCCAGACTAGGCTACACATCTCACCTAGAAACAAAGACTAAGCACACAGGGAGGGGGATGTAGTCTTCTCAGGGCTTGTCTCGAGAATTCATTTTATTTGTCATCTTTTTTTCTTGTCATAAATCTGCCATTTCAGATGTATTTGTTGGTTTTTTAAAAAGTCACGTGGGGAAGTTTTAGTTTTCCAGAAATTACTCTTACAATATTTATCTTTCCTAAGATTTTTCTTCTGACTGTTATAGGAAAATATCACTTCTCTCAGCTATCCAAGGGAAATGAGGCAGAGGACACAGCTCAGTAGAGTGCTTGCCAAGAACATACAAAGTCCTTCTTCCAACCTCCAGTGCTCGGGGACGGGGGAGATGAAAGTTATTAATAAAACTGGAACTTTCATCCTAGGAAAAACTAGGTCTTTGTCTCTCTTTTCAATTTTTATTTTGAGGCAACAAAGTCTGAAGTAACCCTAAGAAAACATGAGTAATTTTTCTATAAGCAGTTACTTTATAGCTGTTTATCCACTGTTACAGTTAACAGTGAACTGAAGTCACTGTTCATGTATTTCCTAAATCTGTTATAAAAGTAAACTCAGAAGAGGAATTTACCTTGGGAGGCAGAGGCAGGCAGATCTCTCTGAGTTACAGAGCGAGTTCTAGGACAGGCTCCAAAGCCACAGAGAAACCCTGTCTTGAAAACCAAAAAAAAGGAAGGAAGGAAGGAAGGAAGGAAGGAAGGAAGGAAGGAAGAAAGAAAGAAAGAAAGAAAGAAAGAAAGAAAGAAAGAAAGAAGAGGAATTTACCATAGAGAAAGTTATTTCTTAATGGCATTAAATGTGACTGGTACAAATAGACATATTAAACAGATGTCTCAGCAGGTAAGAGCACTGACTGCTCTTACAGAGGTCCCAAGTTCGTCCTCAGCATCTACATGGTGTCTCACAAATAAATATTGAAATAAGGTTGTTGACTGTTGTAATATTAAGTGTATACTGTAAGTCATTGTGATTGCTTTTTTGTTAGCATGTTTTTTAAAATCCTAGAAAAATCTTAGTCTCCATTATGTGCACGTTGCTTAGAAATTAGAATAACCGGAGCTGGAGAGATGGCTCAGAGGTTAAGAGCACCGACTGCTCTTCCAGTGGTCCTGAGTTCAATTCCCAGCAACCACATGGTTGGTGGCTCACAACCATCCGTAATGAGATCTGGTGCCCTCTTCTGATGTGCAGATATATATGGAAGCAGAATGTTGTATACACAATAAATAAATAAAATCTTAAAAAAAAAAAAAGAAATTAGAATAACCTATGGTTTTCTTTCAGTCCTCACTGGGTTCATCATCATCTTCATTCCAGTCAGTGGGCTCCTATGGACCCTTTGGCAGGATGCCAGCATACAGTCAGTTCAGTCCAAGCACATTGGTCGGGCAGCAGTTTGGTGCCGTTGGTGTTGGTATGTGGTAATATTTTTCCTCTTTTGCTTTTTTTTTTCCCCTCAATTTCTTAACCATAAACGTATAGAAAACTTGCCGAAATATTGTTTGATCTTTGTTTTATGATTATAAGTACTTATGTTGTAAGTTGGGCATGGTGGTTCGTTTTATAATTGTAGCATTTGGGAATGGAGGCAGGAGGATCAGAAGTTCAAGGTCATTGTCAGAAACATAACAAGTATGAGGCTAGCCTAGGACATATGCGACCCTGCGCGCGCCCCTGAGCGCCCCCCCCCCCCCCCAGCTCACAGTCTTTAAAATATGTTGTAGTGAATGAGTCAGAATGCAGTTAAGGAGCTGCAAAGGTGGCTTAGCAGTTAAGGTCCTTAACTGCTCTTGTCCAAGACTGTGTGTGGTTCAGTACCTAGCACCCACCTAGAGTGGCTATCAGCCACTATAGCTCCAGTTCCAGGCGATTCAGTGCTCTCTTCTGGCCTCCTAGTGTAACCCACACACAAAAATAAAAGAACCCAAAGACTGATATTGGGGTTCAAACTTCAAGCTGCATTATCAGAACAGCAAAGCAGCTGGCCGCTAGCTCTCACCTCCAGCTCAGGCTGAAAGGACTGATCCATACACAAGTCTCTTTGTGGCTGGAGAACAAATGTCTCTATTGAGACCTTGCTTCTGTTTCATATACTTCCCTAATGTTGGGGTTAAAGGTGTGAGCTATAATTCTCTTTTAGACTGATTTATTCTTGTGTAGATCTGGGTGTCTTTGGACTCACAGAGGTCTGTCTATCTCTTAATCCTGAGTCCTAGGATTAAAGGTGTGTTCCTGGCTTCTGTGACTTTGCTTTCTGAATCCTCAGGCAAGGTTTAATAGATCATAAATAATATATCACTAATCCTAAAGTTATTGCACACAGGTGTGCACATAACCATTTGATAAAGAAGCAAACAAATAAGCATTTAACCCACCAAACATACTAGCAGAGTAACACATTAATCCACAGTTTAGAAAAAAAAAAAAAAAACTTAATCTAGCACAAAACCCACTTTTTATGAAATGTAGAAACTCATGTATAAATACAGATGGCTTATGCAGACATAGTGGCGTGTGAAAACACAAAGATTCTTAAAAAAAAAAAAAAAAAAAAGCCATCCTGCACAGCACATGGTAGAATGGGGGTTGCTCCTCTGATCCCATGGCTGACTCAGCTATGGCTTGCTGCTGTCCATCATCACAGAAGACTATCTTACTTCATGTGGCTAGCCTAGGAAACAGCTTCAAGAATAATGTCTACTGAATAAGCCTGCTCTCCTGTTGCTGTGAAATAGAGTGACTATAGTCAGCCCATCTGAAATTTGCTGCTGTTACTTCTCTTCATAATAGCTGTGTCAGTGAATCCACTGTGTTCCATGATTTAATTTCTATCTCTAATGAGAGCCTCTCGACATAGTGAGAAGATCAGCAACAGAATTGAATCAGGGCGTAATGATAGCTCTTCCCGCCAGCCCCCAGAGTTCCCCTGCCATGTTAGGGCCCCCAAACAACACAGAGTCTTATTTACAGTGCTGTTGGCCGATGACTAGGATTTCTCATTTGCTAGCTCTGTCTTAATTATCAACCATAACCATTGATCTATATATTTCATAAAGACTTATGAAGGACACCAGCGGCAGGCACCCTCTCTTCACGGGGTCACATGGCGCTCTCTCCCTTTCCTACATTTCCCAGAATCCTCCTCTCCTAGTCCCGCCCAACTTGCTTCCCTATTGGCCAACAGCGCTTTATTTATCAACTAATAAGACAGACACATACACACAAGGACCTCCCCCATCATAAGGGTTTGGAACTCACTGTAAAAAAAAACAAATGTCCAGGGCTGGAGAGTTGGCTTAGCTGATAAGGACCCAAGTTCAGATCCTCCTTACTTACATAGAGGCCAAGCATAGCAGTTGGAAGGGGCAGAAGCCACAGGGCAGAGATGAGTGAATCACTGGGGCTCACTGGACTCCAGGTTCAGTGAGAGACCCTGTCTCAAAAAATAAAAAAGGAGCAACTAAATGAAGGAAGACCCTCGACGTTGACCTCTGGCCTGGATACACTTGTATATAAATGTACAAGTGCCTTGTACTTTTTAAAAAGTAAATACAAACCAGGCATGGTAGCACCCACCTTTAATCCCAACAGGCAGATTTCTGAGTTTAAGGCCAACCTGTTCTACAAAGACAGTTTGAAGACAGCCAGAGCTCTATAGAGGAACCATGTTTCCAAAATATAAATACAAATGTCCCATAAACATGTGAAAAGGTGCTTTGCTCTTGCTTACAATAAAATGATGCAAAGCAAGTGTTTTGGGATGCAGCTCAGTTAATAGGGTACTTGCATGGCATGCAGGAGGCCCTGGGTTTGATGTTAGCACCACAGTTAACGGGATGTGGTGGTGCCCACTTGTGTTCCCAGCACTGAGGTGGAAGCAGGGGGTCTGAAGATTGATTGGATTTATTTATGTTATGTGTATGTGTGTCTGCCTGCCTGGGTGCATTTATGTGTACCACATGCCCTGGGACTGTCAGTGCCGGGCACCTAGGACCTCTGCGTAAGCAGTAGCTGCTGAGCTGTCTCTCAAACCCAGAGGCAAGGATCTAGATGTGAAAGGTTTGAGGCCCTGCCTATGAGAAATAAATCACACTGAGATACCCTTTTTTTGCTTTCAGCTTGGCAGAAACTCAGAACATGCTTTTGCCACATCCTGAGGAAATAGATACACTGAAAACATAATGTACTAAGTAGGCTTTCTTTAAGCACTGTGATGGGGAGTGTTCTTCTGTGTATATTTTTGTCTTATTGGTTGATGAATAAATTGGCCAGGCAAGATGATAGGTACTAGGAGACAAGGAGGATTCTGGGAAGTGTAGACAGAGGAGTTGTCGTGTAATACCAGGAAGTGATGTACCTGGGCAGGATCAGAATATAAGCAGGGACAAACAGGAAATCGCTCTCTCCCCTGTGGACATGCTGAGTTAGTCACCATGAAGGACACTGGAGGAGTAATGTGTCCAGACCCTTTCTCTGGTAGATAAGACCATGTGGACATACTCAGATTGATAGAAATAGGATCTCAGAATAAGTAAAGCATTCAAACAGTATGACCATGTTGTTATTAAAGAGTGGACAGTAGAGCCAGGCGGTGGTGGAGCCTTGGATAAAAAGTGGTTTGGGAGGCAGGTGTGGCTCGTGCCTATTACCCCATGTGCTGGGTAGTTTTGTGTGTCAACCTGACACAAGCTAGAGTCATCAGAGCAAGGAGCCTCAGCTGAGGAAATGCCTCCTTGAGATCCATTTTCTCGATAGTGATTAAAGTGGGAGGGCCCGGCCCATGGTGGGTGGTGCCACCCCTGGGCTTCTGGTCCTGGGTTTTATAAGAAGGCGGGCTGAGAAAGCCGTGGGGAAGCAAGCCAGTGAGCAGCTCCCCTCTGCATCAGCTCCTGCTTCCGAGATCCTGCCTTGTTTCACGTTCCTGTCCTGTCTTCCTTCAGGGATGAACAGCAGTGCTGAAGTGTAAACCAAATAAGCCCTTTCCTCCCTAACTTGCTCTTTGGTCATGGGGTTTCGTCCCAGCAATAGAAACAACTAAGAAACCTCAGTATCTGGAAATCTGAGGCTTTGAATTTGAAGCAAGCTTGATCTAAATAGTAAGACCTTGTCGCTACTAATAGTAATGATGATGGTAGAGTATTTGAGAGTTGCAGACATGAATCAGTGGCAGAATTAAGTCAAGGAGCGGGGGCACCGTGAGAATAGAAGGTACAGTTTGCTGCCATTGAATTGGTGCTCCAGCAGGCAGCAGGCAGCAAGCGAGGAGGTAAGAGTGCACACCTGCAGACTAGCTTATGTTTGCCTTGCTCAAGAACACGAGCAGGCTCTTTAAAAATGCTTGCTGTGTTCCCAGAATTTGTGGGGGTGATGTGTCGTCTCTTCCAGAGCTGGTCAGAGCAGAAGCCTAACTGGGATGTGCCCTGGTGGGAGAGAGTACTTGATGTGACAGGTACTGCTACATTCTGATTGGCCCGTAGAATTTATCAAACCAGGAGGAGCCTGGGGAACAGCACAGCGTCTTAAAACCATGGCTGACGTGGTTAGAGATAGTTGAAAGAACTGGAGTACCCTGGAAATGAGCACATTGCATTTTACGACGGTTTACACACTTCACGGGTTCAAATACGACAAATGATGTGAGGAGAGGGCAAGTAACGAGAGCTTTATAAACTGAGGTAACAGTTGGCGGACACCGGGAACCGTGAGAGGTCCCACATACCATAATGGTGTGATTGTATTTGTATTATGTAAGCTTATTCTGACTCCCGTCATAGAGGTATACCAATGAGAGGTAGAGGGATGGTTGAAATACATAAAGGCTCACCCACTCGTCTTAGAGAAGATTGGGGAAGCAAGGATGGCAGAGCACTGGGTCCTTTCTAGTCATTTTGTTATCATAATTCCCACTCTTTTGTAACTGTTGGGCAAAATGCAGCACCACGATTCCTTCAGAGTGGAGAGCATGATAGAGTGTTTGAGGTGAGGGTTGCAGACATGAATCAGTGGCAGAATTATGTCAAGGAGCGGGGGCACTGTGAGAATAGAAGGAACACAGCTGGTTAGCGTTGAATTGGCACTCCAGGCAGAGTCCATTGTCTGCTGCCTTACACGGTGGAAAGAAAGCGTGTAGTGGAGGCGTCTGGTGACTCACTGCAAACGTCACAGTAATTGCCAATGTATTGTTTCTGTTGCTCACCATCTGATTGTGGCTTTATTTTTGCAGTATGTGTTCCAAAAACTGTTTGATTGAAGGCCATAGGACTACATAATCCCATTTTTTTTCATCCTACACTGTCATAGATTTCCCAAATTTTTTGTATAATTTAATTTTCAAGATTAGTATTTTATAAGTATGCATTGGGTCCTAAACAATCAGTAAAATGCTGTTGTGTTTTGTTTTGTTTTGTTTTTAATCCTTTTAAGCTGGGAGCTCATTGACATCCTTTGGAACAGAAGCATCGAATAGCAGTACCTTATCCCAGAGCAGCGCAGTTGGTTCTGCCTTCACACAGGACACAAGATCTGTAAAACCACAGCTAGCCCAAGGTAAGCTCTTCTGCCTGTCAACTGCTTGCATTCTAAACATCTCTAGCAGTTTTTTTTTTTCTTGTTCTGAAGGGTTATTAACATTGTGTATCCTTGGAGTCTCACTCTTTAAATTTCGATTTTGAGACCGGGATTTCACTTCTTAGGCTAGCCTAATTCAGTATATTCCTGCTTTTGCCTTCTGAGAGCTGGGATTACAGGTGTGTACCAACATACTTGGCTAGTCTGGGAATTTTTGTTTTCCCCAGTTACTCTATTGCAATAAATGTTTTACTGAATGGCTTCTATTTATTTTTACTTTTTAAACTTTCTACAAATAGGATTTGAAATGATGAGCATTATGTATTTGATAATTGTTTACAAAGTTTATCAGGTTCATCCTAGACTCACCCCTGAAGGTTGAACTCTTAGGTGAATTTGAAAACCTGTCCAAAGAAATAAACTGTTGATATATATGCTGTCGATCGAGTCTTGTCTGTCGCCTCACAGATGTGGGACCTTCTGTCTCAGAGGATCACCACAAAAGAACCATCTTGTAGTGCTTCTGAAGCCACAAGTCATAATTGTTAAGAGGACTTAGTCTTGTCGAGGACCTGAATTGGGTTCCCAGCACCCACATGGGACAGCTCAGAACTGCCCATGACTCCACAGTGGGATCTAAACGGAAAACCTGATAACCTCTAGCTTCCAAGGGTTCTGAACAAAAACATAATTAAGTATATAGGTGTGTTAGAGCTCTTTCTTTACTGAAAGAATATAAGCCTTAATTTCCTGAATTATAAAGTGGGACTTGCCCCTGTGATCACCAAATTTCCTGTAAAAATACAAATTTTGCTGTGTGGTAGCTCACAACTTTAATCCTGACAGTCTGGAGGAGACAGAAGCAGGCAGATCCCTCTGAGTTCCAGGATAGCCAGGGCTACATAGTCAAACTCTTGTCTTTAAAAAAACAAAAGAGGGAGCTGGAGAGATGGCTCAGCGGTTAAGAGCAACCACATAGCAGCTCACAAATGTCTGTAACTCCAGTTCCAGGGCATCTGACACCCTCATACCAATGCACATAAAATAAAGTTAAATAAACTACATATATATAAAAGGAAGGATAATAATGAGCTAGAGAGATGGCTCAGAGGTTAAGAGCACTGGCTGCTCTTCAGAGTCCTGAGTTCAATTCCCAGCAACCACATGGTGGCTCACAGCCATCTGTAATGAGATCTGGTGCCCTCTTCTGGCCTGCAGGGATACATGTAGACAGAACACTGTATACAAAGTAAATAAGTAAATAAAAAAGAATAATAAAAGGGATTGGAGATGTGGCTCAGGGTTTAAGAACACTTGCTTCTTTTTTTCCGAGGACCCAGGTTTGATTCTCAACACCCATACGGAAGCTCCCGTATGTAACTCCAGACTCAGGGGATCCAGCTTCTTCTGGCCCCTGTGGGCAACGCATGTGCATGGTACACGCATGCAGGCGAAACAACATATACATAAAAAACCAAAAGCTATAAGTATAATAAAACTATTAGAATAAATTTAAAGGTGAATAAAATAATGTACAATGCGGGTGGTGTTGTTTAGTGGCAAAACACTCCCTAGCTGTGTGTGATAATCTGGGTTTGGTCTTTTGCACAGCCGAGTAGATCAATATTTCTAGATTAAATTATAGTAGAAAAGGGCTGATTATTCCCGTGGCATTGTTGCCTGTTGGTTTAAGAAAAGATTGGATTCCTTCCCTCATACTGAAGACTTGAAAACAGAAGTAGTTTTATTAAATTCTGATGTGAATATTTTTCTAAATCTATGGCACAGGAAGCTAAGAATCCATTTAAATTTCACCAACTGAAATGTTTAGATTTCGGGGACTGGACAGGGGGCTCAGTAAGAGCTGGGGCTGCTCTGTAGAGTTTGTGTATTAGACAATTCTGCCCCAGCGGAGACTGCTGCTCCACATGCACAGATACATACGCGGGATAAAAAGAAAATAAGAAGGTTGGTCGTTGTGGCGCACACCTTTAACCCCAACACTTTGGAAGCAGAGGCTTGTGGATCTCTGTTAGTTTCAGGCCAGCCAGGGCTACACAGTGAAATGCTGTCTCAAAAAACTAAATAAATAGAGAAATTTCTGAATTCCACACAAATACATGAGACTGTCTTTTCTTTTTTTTATTAAGATCTCATTTATTTATTGTGTATACAACATTCTGCTTCCATGTATATCTGCACACCAGAAGAGGTTACCAGGTCTCAAAACGGATGGTTGTGAGCCACCATGTGGTTGCTGGGAATTGAACTTGGGACCTCTGGAAGAGCAGTCAGAGCTCTTAACCTCTGAGCCATCTCTCCAGTCCCTAGACTTTCTTTAAACTATATAATAAGAGTGTTATGGTCACTCAAGGTTGTTTTGATTTGCTGAAGTCATTTCTGGATTTATTCCTAATCCTTATGTGTGGTGAAATCAACATCATGATTGGTAAGTTGTTAGTAAAAAGGAAATTTAGTATGCAGCCAGTGAGCTGGTGACTCAATGTGTGTCCCCATTGTGTTCACCTCTGTACTAATCCAGAGTCACAGGCTTTCTTCTCAGAAAAGCAGTGATACAAGAAGTTTTATCAATTTGAAAGGTCATTTGATTATAAAATGAACTGCAGCAACAGGCATTTCTCAAATCTTAACCCTTCAAGCTGCTTATGATGCTATACACCTGTAATCCCAGCATATAGAATGTTAAGGCAGGACTGTCACGGGTTCAAGGCCAGCTTTTTCTACGTGCTCGAAAGGGAGAAGGAAGAAAAACTGAAGTGTTTGAAAAGTGCGTGCTGGCTTGTGCTGTGACCTCTGCCGCATAGGCAACTGCATTAGAAGCTAAGACAGGAGCGTCACTTGAGTCCAGGTGGTGAGTGCCAGCCTGAGCAGTTTAGCCATCCCCGTCAGTCTCAAGCAATGCTTAGCAGTGTTTCCTGTGAGCCAGAGACAACAAGAACTGAGGGTTTCTGTTAATAGCACCTCATGTTTCCAGTGTTTTACTGGTAATTCAACTGTTGACTAAAGGAACTTTGCCATAAATATCTGGAAGTCCCATAGGCATTGTAATTACATATTTGGAGAATAGTGCCAGTAAATCATCCCTGGGAGCCTGAGTGTTCTACAGCCAGAGAGTAGTCGGCACCCACCCTCTTCCACAATTGCTTGAGCCTAGACAGATGTAGACAGTGGCCTGTCTGGGAATTTTTTTTCTAGAATGAAGGTAATTTTTAAGCAGAATTCTCTATTTGGGTACAATGTCATGGAATCTGAGAGCTTTAGAAATGTAGTTCCAGGACAGCCTCCACAGCAATATGGCACAGCAATGAACTAACAATGTTTATTGCAAATAATTGTGCATACTTGATTGGGTATTCATCAAAAAACATGCAAAAAATTCAAAGAAACTCGAGGCCAGTCGTTGGTGGTGCACTCAGCACTCAGGAGGCAGAGGCAAGGCTCTGTGAGTTCGAGACCAGCCTGGTCTACAAAGCAAGTTCCAGGACAGGCTCCAATGCTACACAGAGAAACCCTGTCTCAACCCCCCACCCACCCCCCAAAAAAAAGGCATGATTTAATGCCATTTTAATAAGTCAAATCCTTGGTAAGCAGAGACATGGCAGGGGAGCTTCTATATGACTAGGAATGTGTGTGACTGTTCTGGAATTCTCAGATTGTTTTCACTGCCTCTTTAATTCTGGCATTTAATTACTCATCTACCGGCCGTGCTTTATTGTTTACATTCTCGTGACAGAGCCTCATGCTTCAGTCTTTTACAGGAACATACATACATACCTGGAATCCTAGTGCTTGGGTGATGGAGACAGGAGAATCAGGAGTTTAAGGGCATCCTGGACTGTATGAAATTCTGTCTCCAAAAAATAAAAATCTGAATGTGTCAGTATAATCTTGTGATTAGGGAAAGCCTCCATTTGACATGCCTACAGTGTCAGGCGCATGCCTTTAATTCTCAGCACTCGGGAGGCAGAGGCAGGTGGATCTCTGAGTTCGAGGCCAACCTGGTCTACAGAGTGAGTTCCAGGACAGCCAAGGCTACAGAGAGACTATATCTCAAACAACAAAGAAAAGAAAGAGATAAAGTCATGGAGTGGTGTTGCTACTATGTATTTTGTGAGGTTCTTGTTTGTTTTGGGGTTTTGGTTTTTTCTTGTTTGTTTTCATTGCTGATTCATCAGCCCACTAAAGATAAGTAGATTTAAACTCTGGTCTAATAAAATGAATTCAGTTTTATCCTGAGGATCTAAGGTAGCAGAATAAAACTCTAGACTTATTTTCACAAAGTCTAGATGGTTTTGAAATCCCAGGTTAGGGTAGTTTATTATCTTTTGGTTACATTTTAGGTCGATCAAGCCCTCAGTTAGACCCTTTGAGAAAAAGTCCAACCATGGAACAAGCAGTACAGACCGCCTCGGCCCACTTACCTGCTCCAGCACCTGTTGGGAGAAGGAGCCCTGTACCAACCAGGTCTTTGCCATCCACCAGCCAGAAAGCAATAGACAACCAAGAGCACAGGCGAGGTAGAGCTGAGCTGTTTACTGTTCCTGCACTGACTGATCACTCTCCATCTTCTCATTTCACCAAGAGGGTTACTTTATATGAACAGCCCTAGCAGGGTTAAGCTGAACTTTATTTTAAGAGAGTTCCGGTCTTTCAAATTTGACTCAAAGCGGTGGGAGTGTGGGGGTATTTTTTGTGGGGCTGTTGCAGGTATTGCCATCTCCATTCTAACTTTGCAGAAATTTTTGGTTATATATTCTGAATTGGTTTGTCACTTTGTATGTCTCTTTCTATAGCTGAAGTTCATAAAGTCCCAAGGCCAGAAAATGAGCAGCTCAGAAATGATACCAAGAGGCAAATAGGTAAGTTTCCTGGGTCTATTTGATTTGGGCCCATTTGATTTGAGGGGTTTTGTGGTTGCTTGCTTGCTTGGTTGGTTGGTTGGTTGGTTGGTTGTGACAGGTCCTCTCTGGGTAGCCATGCCTGGCTTGGAACTCTGCCTCCCAAGTGCTGGGATTAAAGGCATGTGCCACCACGCCCAGAAGTTAGCTGAGTCTGAAGGCTATGTGCTGTGGATCTCAATGGGGAAAAGCATTTCAAGATGCGTAGTTGCCCTGAAAAAGAAAGGTGGGAATTGGCGACTGCGCAGGACTGACCCAGGAGAGTGGGTTATTGTGAGTCTGCACATGTGGCAGACTATTGCTGACCTCTACAGAAAGACACACCAGAAGATGGATGTCGGAAATGAGTGACATCTGAGGAAGATCTGTACTTTGGTTAGTTGCACTCTGCCAGTGTCTGTTTCCTAGTTCTGCTAGTATACAGTAGTTCAGATGTTACTGTTGGGAAGGGAGCTGGAAAATGGACTCTTATGTCTATATTTAATTTAATATAGCTTTTCTGAAGTACTATTTTTCTGGAAAAGACTCTACTTGATGGTCCAGTTGGGTGTTGGGGGCAGGTTATGTCCAGGTTCTGGCATATGTGTGCACGTGGAGATGGAAGCCAGAGGGAATAAATATTAGGTGTCCTTGTTGGTCACTCTCCACTTTATTTTTAAGGTAGAAGTCTCACTGAACCTGGAGCTCATTAACTTGCCTGGGCTGGGTGCTAGTGAGCTCCTGGGATCCACGTGTATTCGGAACTTGGGTCCTGGTGCTTATGTGTACATGGGCATGTGTGTAGAGGCCAGAGGTTGACATCAGATGTCCTGCTCAATCACTCTTCTTCGTCCTACATACTGAGGAAGGCTTTCTCACTTGAGCCCTGAGCTTGCTAATTATGCTAGTTTAACTAGCCAGCGTGCTCCAGGGCTCCCCCACCTCCACCTTCTGAGAGTTGGGATCATAGGTGCGGC